TTGTCTGCTTGTTGTTTCATTCTATTCTGAGCCGAGAGTAGGTTAGCTCTCAGTTCTTGTTTCATAAGGTGTGTCTGTTGGATTAGCTGCTTAGCCTCTAAGTTGTTGGAATCTAGATTCTTTCCGGTGGATAGCATTGGTGGGGCATACCCATATAGGGCTTGGAAAGGCGTGGTTTTCAATCTTGTATAAAAATTGGTGTTGTACCTGATTGGTCGGAAAAGTGTGTGTTTTATATATTTATTAGTGTATTTTTATATGCTATATTTTATTACACTTATATATATTTTTTGACTTATTTATTTATTAGATGGATCCACGTTCTATGATATTTTTATGTCTTATTTTTAGGATATTGGAGTATTTTCGTGGGCGGCGTGACAATAAACAAAATTTCAAACTGGCAGAGTACGGGGTGCCCAATATTGTGCTACCAACAGAGCTGGTACCCCATACTCGGCCCAATATAGGCCACATATTTGAGCTCAAGATTAAAATAGGTGGGCAACATTCCTAATTTCAGATGTGGTTCCAATTTGGGCTGAAGATTTGAATTCCACAAAGAGAACCCAAGCAAGATGTGGGTTGGACAACAAATAACGCTTAAGAGGGCAACAACATAAATTAATGGGAAATTTTTATTTCTACTACTTGATTTTATATTAATTGTAATTTTCTCATACAAATAAAAATAATTATGTCTCTACCTAAAAGACATTATTTATTTATATTAATGCCTAAAGTTACCATATCCTTTCAACCCTTATCTCCTTAATTCACGCTTATCTCCTTAATTCACGCAAGTAATTTAATAGAGCTCTCAGGTGGTATATATTAGGTTTATGTTAGTATATATTCAGTATATGTGGCAACTGGAATTTTGTAAGTCACATAACCGGAATATATTGCGTTTATGTTTCTCAGATGGTATATATTCAGTATATGTGCACAACTGGAATTCTGTAATTCAATCAGCCGGTATATATTGCGTTTATGTTAGTATATATTCAATATATGTTGCAATGAAAAAAAACATATTATTACAGATTACTTATATTCCTTATACAAAAAAATATTATAAATATACAAAACATATACTATACATATACTCCATATACACACAACATATACCCAAAAATGTAAATAATTCAGATGTAAAATGTCTATAAACTGAAAATATACTGTCTATATACTCAACATATACTGATTGGAGTGTGTGTGTTTTTAAAAAAAAAAATTAAAAATCTCAATGCTATTCAACATCCAAAAGTATAAACCGTCCACAAAAAACTAAAAATAATGCCGGCGGAAATTGAGGACGTCGTTGCTGCTTTCTTTTCAGTCCTAATCGGTAATGGCCAACATTGAATCGGCAGTCACCAACTCAAAAACAAATCCTCACATGGTACATAAAACCACATTCTTGATTTTATTTGTAGGCAATTGAAAAGTATCTTCCCCAATTATCATTCTTCTCTCCAACCCCAACCCTAAATATCATCTTTAATCAGTTCAATGGAAATCATTGTGATCTGAGACGCAATTTGATGGCGACGAGATCGCACTTGCCTTTCTGGAGAAACGAGATCGTCAACGTCATTAGTGGAATTTATTACTATCCTATTTTAATTTATTTATTTGCTTTCCTATTTTTATTTTAAGTTATTTTAGGAATAAGCATCTTTATTTATTTATTCCTTTTCTTGTTTGGAAAGGAGGTATTTTAGGATTCTAAAACTCTATATATTGATATGTTGGTGACGAATGGCAGATCGATTGAATTTGAATAAAAATTATCTGCTCTTTGAGTTCTCTGTTCCTTTGTTTAATCTTTCGCTGCGTCAGTTGGTATCCAGAGTCCAGTACGTTCCAAGATGC